GGTTAATGCCTTCGGAGTGCGATGCTGGAAGAAAATATTACCCATGTCCAAAATCCCATGGAGTGTATATAAGACCAACGCATCAATACTCGTCAAGCTCGAAATCAAAACAAAGCTTTCTAACATTTGCCTCAAGCAAATCCTAGAGTTCTTCGGTCACACTGGCAGGAACCACGGAGACAATCTAGAAAANTTTTCAGATAGCAAACGGGTTAATGCCTTCGGAGTGCGATGCTGGAAGAAAATATTACCCATGTCCAAAATCCCATGGAGTGTATATAAGACCAACGCATCAATACTCGTCAAGCTCGAAATCAAAACAAAGCTTTCTAACATTTGCCTCAAGCAAATCCTAGAGTTCTTCGGTCACACTGGCAGGAACCACGGAGACAATCTAGAAAAAACTGGTGATTACTGGTTAAGTGGAAGGAAAAAGATCACGGCTTCTCTGGTGTCATATACCAAATCGGATTGCACGACCTCTTTGCGGCAGAAAGAGTTCGAGTAACATGGAGTCTGGTTTAAAATTTTATTTGAATAGACTTAATGTTCTATAAACTGTGTTCTGATTTTGAGGCGTTTACAGAAAGAACTCCAAGGTAACATTTCGTTTCTTACAGAACCGTTACAGAAACATCAAGAACATGTTTTTTTGTTATAAGGCTTTTTAGGTTATACAACTACAATAGACTCATCACTGAATAAACTATCTTTGACATCTTTGTTGAGCATTGCGCTTGAAAACAATAGTCTATTCAGAACGAGATAAGCAATAGTCTTTTGTTTGATGGAATGCATTGTAATTTGAAAATGTAAAGTCTTTTATCGCTGAGGTCTAGATAATTTTACATTGAAATTTACGAGAAAATCTCAATATCTGCTCCACATCGTTCGATAATCATTATTTTAAATTTACTGAATTTCAAACTCATTGTAGTGTCTTGTAAAAGTCGACGGGGCTCCAGCAACAAATTTTTGAGTTGATCTAGGTTCAAGCTAAATTTATTTAAAAAAAATATTACTATACTTACAAACATAATAATATGAAAGACGGTGGTAGGATCTCTTGTGACTCCGCACGGGTAGGTACCACCACCCTGCCTATTTCTACTGTGAAGCAGTAATGCGTTTCGGTTTGAAGGGTGGGGCAGCCGTTGTAACTATACTGAGACCTTAGAACTTATATCTCAAGATGGGTGGCGCATTTACGTTGTAGATGTCAATGGGCTCCAGTAACCACTTGACACCAAGTGGGCTGTGAGCTCGTCCACCTGATTCAATAACCGGTTTCGCCAGTAAATAGAAAATAAATGTTGTTTTCAACAAATCCGGCTAGTGTTTTATATTCTGTGTATTGAATGTCGGAAGCACATACGAGACAGGAACAATTTTATCCAGAACTCGTAAGTCAAATAATGAAATGAATGGGTAGGCAGCGGTTTGGAACGGTAGGCAGCGCCTTGCAATTATAGGCAGTAGCTTGGCTTTGCCCCTGCCATTGTCGACGACCATGAGCGACAGTAATCACTCACTATCAGGTGGGCCGCATGCTTGGCTGCGTACAAGGGCTAAGAAAAAAAATCAAAATATCCCTTACTATCAATCGTTTTCGCAGGGCACGCGATGTAAATATTAAAATCTTAGGTAATTTTTTACACCTTGAGTTACATTATTGAAGTTTTAGTAAAGACCCCTAGTTTTTTTTTTCAAAAAAGATATAGCCTATGTCACTAGGAAATAGTGTAGCTTCCAAACAGTGAAAGAAATTTTCAAATTGGTTCAGTAGTTCCGGAGCCTATTCAATACAAAAAACAAACAAATTTTTCCTCTTTATAATATTACTAGCGACCCGCCCTCGCTTCGCTTCGGAAACATTAAAACACACATGAAACAAAAAAAATAAATAAAAAAAAAACAAAAAAAAGTAGCCTATGTTCATCAGGGACAATGTCGGCTTCTAATGGAAAAAGAATTTTTCAAATCGGTCCAGTAGTTTCGGAGCCTATTCGAAACAAACAAACAAACAAATCTTTCCTCTTTATAATATTAGTATAGATATAGATATAGTATAGACTAATGTACTAATTGGAATCAAACCGAGCCCTCGTAGTCGCAGTCACTAGCCGCACAGGCGATATTTCAATTAAAGTGTGGAAATTAGAGGAATTTAGAAAAAAAAATCATATTATTCTTAATTTAACAACCACTGCCACTGAAGTCATTTCGATGTCCCTTTAACTACTAAATAAACATTTAAGCTCTCTTTTTTCTATAATTTTAATAACCAACTTTCAACTAATAATCCTACTTTACGATTATGTTATTATCTTTGGAAATTGAAATTAAACATCGGAAATCGTAAATGTATGAATAAGTCGAACTATTAGTATCGAGTTTGAATTAAAAAAATATATAGGTATATATTTTTAAAAAATTTCGGGATCCGGCAAACCCATGTTATGGAAAGGAAACCTTAATATATCCGCATTGTTGTTCGGTGTCATAATAATGAAGCTCATGTAACTCTATACTGTGTGTGTTCTACTGCAAACAGTCCTAAAGATGATTGAGTCAGATTGTAATTAGCTTAAATGCCCCATCTTGACACAAATTGTCTTCCCGGTTCTAAGGAATTAAATTGGTCATCGTTTTCCAGAATAATCTCGAATTCCAAGGAAAAATCTTGCAAATTATGCAGTGACCCTTAGTTCACGATGATTAATCAAATGGAGACGGGTTTACTAGATTATGTTACTGATTAAGACATAAAATTCTCGTTTAAAATGATACAAAACAACTTTTTAAGAAAAAATAATTTATACCGAACACGTAGGCTTAATTCAATATAACTGTGGCGCTCATAATGTTAAAACAGTTTGCCGCGTATTGTGAAATAATGGTGAAAATCGATTAAAAAATCGAAATTTTTATAATTTTTATTCGAATTTCTGCATATTAATTATGTAGGCAGTCACTATCATTGCCATACTTAAGTGATACAAACGAATGTTTAATGATTTCGCTAAGCCTTATATTTCTTATATTAATCGACTTTGTCAGTTACTTTTAATTCATCGCTATCTAGTGTAGTCATGCCTTATTTTTTATTTATTTTTCCACCTAAGTCTTGAGAGACCATTTCATTATATTGCGATTAGTAGGCATTCCTGTTTGAACCCGTTATTATAATGCATCTGAATCTACTACCTACAGTCTCAAGGTTGGCAGCGACATTCACAATGTACTACTGTATATGGGCTCGGTTGATAAAGCCTTATCAATAGACTGAGTATGGTAATAATAATATATGCTATAAAAGAGTCACTCATAAACAAAATATCTAAGGTGTCTTAAAAAACGAGTATATAAAGATACACAATAGCTGTATATTTAATTCCGTAATACAAGATAGGTACCAAAGCTAACCGTTTAATGTGAAGCCTTACAAATTTGCAGAGTGTATTGTAGCCATGTTATATATCACGAAAACGAACTAAGTAACTGAACTTAGACAAAATATATGTTTTTATTTATTTTTCTTTTAATCCTATATCGAGGCGACTACTGCGTCTTTATCTTCAAATCTATGACCCCTGAGATGTTCCTTTACCCGCGAAAATAAGCAGAATCACTAGGAGCTATGTCCGGTGAATATGGAGACGTTCCATCAATTCGCAGCTAGCTTGTTGAATGGCAGCCAGCCAGGACTTATATGCTGAAGAGTTGTCTTGGTCAAACAAGACAACTTTAGCGAGTTTGCCACGCCATTGCTTATGTATTTCATCACGTAACTTTGTTATTTGTCCTGCTTACCAACTCCCCGTAATAGTGGCTCTATGATTAAGATATTCGATAATTACCATACCTTGGCTGTCCCAGAAAAATCAGCCCATGATCTTGTCGGCGGATGGAATCGCCTTAAATTTCATCGGAGTTTTAAATGTCGGTCTCTTCAAAATACTGTTATTCGTTTACGGGTCATAATGCTGTTTCGTCCATAGTTATGAATAGAGCCAAAAATCGATCAAGATCTTGTCGTTAAAAACTCAAACAGCTTTGTGAAATTCTCAGTCTGTGTGTCAGTGGTTGTGTATAATGTTATGGCCATTTCCTATAGATATCGTCATTTCTTCTGTTACAAAACAAACAGTAACACGACGGTCCGCCAAAACAATTTTTCAACTTCAATAATTTTTTCAGTCACTACCGATGTTAAGCGTTCCGTGCGGGGTCGTCGTTAAGGGAAGTTTTCCTTCACTTAAGCTGCACACACCAACCCGCAACCGTAAAATATGAAAGAGCATAATACCCTAATGTTACTCTCAAGCGTTAATTTTACCAGCTCTGTAGTAAAAAAAAATTTGCAGAGAAATTTCAGTACCTTGCGAACTTCAATTTTAACCATTTTTAAGAACACATTCCAACACGACGCGAACGAATGACTTCTACAATTTAAAAAAATAAGGAGGGGTTATTTTTGTTAATTTAATATCGAATAGGTATTTATAAAAAAAATATTGTAAAATAACACTCGATTGTAATATAAAACTTTGTATTCAAAGACAAATAAAACGATTTGAGCAAAGCATAGCGTAAATAGGCAGCCTTAGCCAAATGAAAATTTTATAAAATTTTGTATTTTAAATTTTAACTTTACATATTAAATACGGAGCCCTCACTTGTCCGTCCGCATACACGTCCATTTTTTTAGTTAAAGTGTTTATAGATTGAACTGCTTCAGGCCAGGATTTCTAGGACCAGCTAGTAGGAAATTAGAGAACAGAGGCTCCTATGGATGTTAAATGGAGTAGTATCTCGAAGAAACCGAGATCGTATATGATTATCATCTCAATAACAGTCAGGCAGACTATTAGTCTATAAGCTTGGCCACAACCTCCTTCTATTCAAAAATGGTCACCCTAACTAAGGTATCGCCAAATATCGATCGTGCGACAGAGAGGCAAATATAACATCGAACTAGTCTGGTTTGTCGCATAAACACAAAAAGATCGCCAGAACAACTGATTTTACTTTGCTCATGGAATTTAATTCAAAAATATTAAGAACTAAAGACTTTTGCTGCACATTAAGTGGTGTTCTCTGTACATGATGTAAAGTCGTGATATTATTATGTAGTACGTATTTAGAAGTTTTGATAGTATCTCTAGTAACAACTCATTAACTACGAACAGGGTAAGTCTCTAAATTTAAAATTGTATTATAATTTTTAAATTCGGATCAATTTTTTGACCTCTTTACGTTATTATTATCATTAATTTCATTTAATAGAATGTTAAGAAAACTATGTTTTCCACGATCACGACGTACGACAAAATACCGAATTTATTTTTAGAAGACAATACGAGATGCGTACGTAATTAATTGACTAGAGCATTTAAATCGGTATAAATATTATTATTTTTTCGTTTTTTCATAGATGATCAAAGAAATCGCGTAAAGATATGTCTTCTGAACAACATAAAGAGAGTAGAATGAGTAGCACCCTGAGTGCCCTTGGCGGTGGCGAGGCGTGTGGTGCGCGATGGACCCTGGGTGCTCTGCTCCTTGCTCCTCTTGCAGCAGCAAACTCCAGTTATTGCGCTGTACCCGCTATTATTCTGTTATCTGCTTTCGCAGTCATTGCCAGTAAGTATAACCAAATATATTAATAAGCAGATATATTTATACTTTTAAGGATAATTCTGAAATACACGAAAAGAATTTAAGTGGGTATAATAAAATATAGTTAGATATACTATTCAATAAAATATTTCCATTAGGGTATGACGAAATATTTCGAAGAAAAATAGTTTTTTTTAATCGCGAAATTGATTTAATTTCATTAGTAAGTAAATTATGGAGACAAATCTAGTATTAATAACATTTTTTTTATATTGAACATGATACCAATTTTTCGACATAAGTAAATGTAAAATAACTGTTTTTTATAGAGGTAATTGTAAAGTCAATTAAAATTATTCTACAACTCTAGAGTATTACGTAAGTATTATAACATTACGAAAAAACTTATAGATAGACAGTCGTCAAGTGTAAAACTTAAGTGCTATTCAAATATTGTAAAAATATAAACGGGGTTATTTTGATTCTAAAAATTTTAGAAAGTAAGACACATGATGGCTTGTTGACGGTTCTTTTTAATAGAATAACTTCCCAACGAACTTGACATCTGCAATTCCAGGGCCGTATATTCCTTATAAATCTTAAGAACAAAGAAATGGTTAATAACTCTAAGTTCCTTAATACAAATGGCGATAATATTATTCAAATTTATACCTACTATAGGAATTGACAAAGCGTATGTCTTCTAGAGAATGCGCCTTTTTTAGCTTTGTATTCGCCACAAGGTGCTGTTACATCATGATATAACAACCGTTAACCCACTATTTTAACACTTTTTCAGCTTTAACATGTAAAGACCTTAAAAAGCTAGCAGAAATTCTTCCGCCACCGAAAACTGTGAGAGGGAGACGCGAAAGGAATCTGCGTTCCTTTGCCGATTTTATGGCAATGTGGATGACATTTCTATCACATTTGGTAGCAGTAGCTATATGTGCGAGGTACAATTTAAAATTATTACTTTCTTATGCGTACTAAAATGCGAGAGCACACAACATGACATAAAACATAAAAACAAATCATGGCGGCGAAATTGCATTCTCTTCATACGTATGTCGATTCGAATTTAGATATAAAATGCGGGCTTTTTAACATTTAGGATATTAAGTGCAACTGCCGATCATGTTACCGGAGGTCGCACCCGACGATGGTTATTCGGGTATGAAACGAGAGCCCTGGGAGAACCATGGCCTGATGTACTGGGAGTGACCGTGGTGATCGTCGTCTGTGCTATGTTCATGTGTGGACTGGAAGTGAGTTCAGTTATTGTTTAAAAACTAACATTTCTTTAATAAATACACTTATAATTTAAATTCTTGAAAAAAAAACACTCCTGAAATATGAGTAAACATTTTCATTGACGTTTCTGATGTTTTCAGGAAAGTATGATGTTCACGTTCATGTTATTGATACTCCTGTATATATTCAGTCAATTTTTCGCCATATTTGGACTTATAAATCTAGATATCGCCAATATAAATATGCCTATTCCTATATCCATTTATGAGGTAAGTGTGGGCAGCATAAAAACCTCAATACTACTTATTTGTTTTTATATTAAATTAATTTTTTTTCATTTTTACTACTGTATTTCAGCTTTTTGCAGCAGGTTCGCCGGTTTGCTACGCTTTTAGTGTTGTTTTACCAAAAGAAAGTGGAACTCTTAAGAAAAAAATGTTCTTGACAACAGGATTGCCTGCAATAGTTTTAACGGGGTTATGTTTTCTATACACCAACATGTTAAAAGGGTTTGTCTTTCAAACTTTTAAACTTACAAATCAGATATCCACTTAAAATTATCAATTATATAAAGTATTCTATACTGCTCTAAATACTATTATGATTTTTTTTTATTGCTTAGATGTATGGACGAGCTCACGGAACACCTGGTGTTAAGTGGTTACTAGAGCCCATAGACATTTACAACGTAAACGCTGCCACTCACCTTGAGATATAAGTTCTGAGGTCTCAGTATAGTTACAACGGCTGCCCTACCCTTTAAACCGAAACGCATTACTGCTTCACGGCAGAAACAGGTAGGGCGGTGGTACCTACCCGTGCGGACTCACAAGAGGTCCAACCACCAGTAATTACGCAAATTATAATTTTGCGGGTTTGATTTTTATTACACGATGTTATTCCTTCACCGTGGAAGTCAATCGTGAACGTATTTCATTAAGTAAGAACGTTAAGTACGTATTTCATTAGAAAAATTGGTACCCGCCTGTGGGATTCGAACACCGGTGCATCGCTAGATACGAATGCATCGGACGTTTTATCCTTTAGGCCACGGCGACTTACTATCACTGCTCTATTACATAAACCATTACTGATTTTCTAGGAGCAGTGTTGACGCCGCTCTACCTATTACGACACTGGTCGAGGCAAGAAGTGCGGGTTGGGTGTGTCCCGTACTAGCTGCCGTCACTGTAGCAGGAGTATGTCTTTCTTTGACAGAACTATGTCCTTTACTTTTCACAGTATTGGTAGCTTTAGCATCACCAGAGTGGAAGGTTCTGACTAGATCAATGACGTACGAAAGTACTTCGACTGGGAGTCCGGTCCTAGCGGTTTTCACGGCCGGTATGATTTTTTAATTGTCATTTTTTAGTTTCCGAAATTGTGTATTTTTGTTTTAAAATTACAATTGTTTTTAGGAAGTCTGGCAGCTATACTGGCATTCGCTTGTCCGTTGTCTCACATGATTACTCTTATGAACGCAAGTCACTTACTTAGTATCTCTATCCAAGCGTTCCATCTTATGGTTATGCGTTGTGTACCGACACTTGAACAAAAGGAGGCTGGCGGTAAGAACTTCACTTACTTAGTATCTCTATCTAAGCGTTCCATCTTATGGTTATGCGTTGTGTACCGACACTTGAACAAAAGGAGGCAGGCGGTAAGAACTTATCAAAAAAATAGGTATTTAATATGCTTTTATTAGCTTCAGACGTATGTATGTATGTTTGTCTTTGAACATGATTTTGACCTCCTTCAAAACGTCGGATTAACTCGATATTTGGTATAATTATTAAGAACCGGTAACAATTAAATATTTAAAAAAATAAAAAATAAAAAAATTGAAATTTAACTAAAAAATTAAAAATAAATAATAGTTTAAAAAAACTAACTAAATACGCTTTTATAGAAAATCCAACTAAAAAATTGAAAATAAATTTGAATTAAAAATAGTGTAAGAAAAAATGATTTTATTGTAAAAAAGCGTGGGGTGCATGGTATAAGTAGTTAGTAGTATAAGTAGTTTAGTTAAATATTTTATGAACAGATATGAGTAGAAGGGTTATTTTGATAATATCCTGAAAAGGTAAATATGTATTTATACATAAAATGTTTTGATATATTATGTATAATGTGACATTTCATTTTGTAGACGTAGAGTACAAACGCCTGGGAAGAGATGCTGCTCCTCGTGGATCTAAATCAACATCTAGTAGAGGCAGAGGTAGTTTATGGTTCATCCCTTCCGCTATACGACACACTAAGACTCTTGAAAGCATTAAGTCAAAAGTAATTTCAAAAGGTACCAGAATATTTTTACTTGTTTATTACGTAATTTGAATTGCAATAATGTAAAATTGACGTTAAAATTTAGAAACAGAAGATCGAGAATGCCTTCTGTTAGATGAATATGCGGGCTGTCCTTCAGAAGATCCAATCTCTTGTAGCAGTGGTACTAGAAAAATTGCAACAGAGGACTTGGATGTCGTACCTTCAGACGCCGAAGCGAGCGAAGGAGAAATTACCTCAGGAGATGATTCTACCGACATTGATGCAGTTGTTAAAGAGTATAGAGATAGAATACAGGTACTTCTCAGAAGTATTTGCAATAACTATATCGAAAGAAACACTCAGCTTGAAGAATTTCCTCCTCTTTTCTTCGTACTTATACTTAATTAGGTCATGATCCCTGGCGGAACCGTTTTCTGATTTATGATATCACGCCACCTATGACCATTCTTAGTAGGTATCAGCTAAGAAGTTGGAAAATATGTAATGATGAATGTCTTTGATCTATCTACCTGATGGAGCTGCGACTACTTAATCTTCACTTCAATGGCAACGTCCAATTGCTCATTTACGATTATCTTTCTTGGCCTTTTTAATTAAAAGCTCCATATACCAGAAAAACAGATGTTAAATAATTGTCTAACGTAAACGCACCTAATAACGACCCCTCGAATTCGGCACCCATTACCGTCCGTTTCATAAAATTATAATTTTGAGCTATTGTATTAAACTTAGACCAGTGGTTGCTTTAAAGAAAATATGGATGTATTTTTATTGCAAATATACATCACTTCCTTTTGTGCCTAAGCCAATAAATTAAAGAATAGCCTAGTTCGTCGTTGGAGTACGGAGACAGCGCAAATTTCATACTAAATCGATCCGGATTACGTAAGTATACTCATTTAGTTTTTAGTAAAAAATATAATCGTAAAGCATTCTAATGCAGTTTAAACATTTTTTGATGTCTTTTTAATACTTTGATAATCACAAATAACAAGTAATTTCCATGAGATAGGTTAAATTTCTCTAAAATTCAATATTTAAAAGTGGCGGTAATAGGAACAATTATCACAATTTTATTTCTATAACCGACCCACGTCGTTATTTGGTTTTAGATGAATATTTTTGTTACTATGTTTTCCATTATGATATATGAATTAATAAGTAACGGGCTATACTAATTTGGTTGATTAGTATGTCAAGTTGTATATGAGCTATTAACGCCATATACGTAATTAGAAGTACAGATAGGTGAAAATCAACAGCTTTCTTAAGTATTTTTTGTAAATGTACGAAGCTTAATTCTCAAACATTGTATTTTTTTAGTTAAAAATCATTATCGTAAAATCATTATATTAAAATATCATTATCGTTAAATATTCATAACCAATGCAGCTAAATAATCTCACAAATACACTAAAACGCAATATGCTTACACTTTTTTTGCTAGATGTGTGGACGAGCTCACAGCCCACCTGGTGTTAAGTGGTTACTGGAGCCCGTAAATGCGCCACCCACCTTGAGATATAAGTTCTAAGGTCTCAAGTAACGGCTGCCCCACCCTTCAAACCGAAACGCATTACTGCTTCACGGCAGAAATAGGCAGGGTGGTGGTACCCACCCGCGCGGACTCACAAGAGGTCCTACCGCCAGTAATTACGCAAATTATAATTTTGCGGGTTTCATTTTTATTACACGATGTTATTCCTTGACCATGGAAGTCAATCGTGAACATTTGTTGAGTACGTATTTCATTAGAAAANTGCCCCACCCTTCAAACCGAAACGCATTACTGCTTCACGGCAGAAATAGGCAGGGTGGTGGTACCCACCCGCGCGGACTCACAAGAGGTCCTACCGCCAGTAATTACGCAAATTATAATTTTGCGGGTTTCATTTTTATTACACGATGTTATTCCTTGACCATGGAAGTCAATCGTGAACATTTGTTGAGTACGTATTTCAATACCCGCCTGAGATTCGAACATCGGTGCATCGCTCCACACGAATGCACCGGACGTCTTATCCCTTAGGCCACGACGACTTCGACACATTACATACACATTTTTATGGGTCGGTAATATGTTATACGATTTCTTTTAATATAACCTAACACCGATCTACCTGTACTTTTATAGTTTTAAATGTTCTGTAGTCAAAAAAGAACACATAATATAGTTTTTTCTTTATAGTTATAGTCCTTTCGTCTGACTGTATGCCTAACTGTTTATACAGTTTGTTACAGTTTATAGTGTGTTAGTATATTTTATTAATTTGTAGTACTACGTAAATAAAATGTAATTATGATTACATTATCACTAAAAATTTAAAATATATAGAAAAATAAAATAAAACAGCAATTCATTATTGAATAAAAAACTAAACTATATTAAAAATCACCTATTGACTTAAACTTGAATGTATTGAAAAATATTATTTACCTAGTACCTACATGTATTCGACTCGATAGATTTTGTTTCAGAAACATGGTTCCACCAAGACGTAAACAATATACCTGTATCTAGTCAACTTGACTCTGCATTGAAGGCCATTAATAATGAAACAAATAAATGAACCTATATGAAACCTCGTAGAGATTTCGGATTCCTAGAACAACTCTTAGGAACAAGAAAGATCACAAGTATACTGAAGAAAATTGTGGAGTTCAAACCGTTTTCACTAAGGATGAAGAACGCCAATTAATAGATTGGATTCACTATTTGGGAAGATTAGATTTTCCTGTAAAAAAGCCAGCTATTAGAAACGGTGTCAAAATTAGTGAAACATTAAATCTCCCACACCAATTTAAAGACGGAGTTGGTACTCCGTCTTTATATTGGTGTGGGAGATTTTCTGATTATCCTGGTGGAAGACACTGGCTTCAAAATTTGATCCAAGGCCATACCAAAATTTCAAAAAAAGAGTCGTCCAAAATTAGCCAACGTATACAAATGAAGTGAAAGAAGAAACTATATGGTCATGGTTTACTGATGTGTATTAATATTTTGAATAAAATCAAGTACTCAACAATTCTACTAGAAGTTTTAATTGCGATGAAACTGGATTATTTTTATGTACCAAGACAGAACGAGTCATCGTAGAATGAAACACCATATGAGGTATCGAGACTCGAGTCTTCAATGAAAGAGAATGTTTAACTGTATTGATTAATATTTGAGTCGTCTATTATCAAAGGTGGCAATCTGTGTATTTGGACAAAAAAATGTTATCGATATGGCGATACAGATTGATTTGAATATAATCGTCTCCTTCAAAGAATACGATTCAAAACCTGCATTAAATAAAGGTTAATACTTAACCTGTTATTTATCTAAGATGTCGTTCAGAAGAGTTTTGTGACTGCCAATGGAATACAAAGTCAATAATTCGTTTTTCTGATTTACCAATAATTGTCCAAAAGTCACATTGCCGGCTTTGATAGTAGTCGACTCATTTCTGCTGAGTATGAAATCGCACCTCCTGTGATTTTTTATCCCTACAAGCGCATGCCTAAAAACCTTATCCCAACTGTGCCATCAGTGTTGATTACGTTTAGAATATTTTTAAGACATTATTAAGAGAATTGTGACTTAATAATTAAAGTACTGTTGCCTCATATCAATAATTAAACTGAAACTATGTATAACTTTTATTTAACAACACTAATTCTGTTGCTTTAGCGGTCGGTAATAGGTGCCAAAAAAACGGTAATAGGAACACACCCCATGCATTGGATCGGTAATAACGACATGGCCCTTCCCATAAATTTTTCTTTTTTTAATTTACTTTTACTACCTAGTTGTTCCTTTATTGCATTAAAAAAGAGTTATCTTCGGAGCTTCGTCAAAAAAAAAAGACAAAGCCAGTGATTGAACAACTATTAATTTTTTAATTCTCAATCTGAACCTGGCTTAAACTGGCCGTAATAGGTGCGTTTACGTTAATATCATCCATTTCTCGTAGTATAATGCACCATATTTCATTTGTAAATTTGGAAATTTGCTTTTTCCGCCCTCTACAGTTTTGCCTTTGTTTACACAAGATACTACGTTGATTCAGTTTTTTCACTGATTGTAAGATAGCACTTTTTGTCACCTGGTCATTGCATTTAATGATGCAGCTATTTGATGTGTAAGTTGTTATGTGTTTGCATTTTACTTATAAGTTAATACTTGTACGAGTATGCTTGATTGTTGGTAACGATTTGTTCAGGTTAACCAGACCGAAATCAACTATGAATAGGCGAAGCGGGAGTAATTTTAGTAGGTAAATGGGTCTTTTCATACATTTAGCGATAACAGCAGAGGATTGGTCGGGTATCAGTAATCTATATATTATATATAAATGAATTGCTGGTTGTTAGTCTCGCTAAAACTCGAGAACGGTAGGACCGATTTGGCTAATTTTGGTCTTGAATTATTTGAAGTCCAGAGAAGGTTTAAAAGGTAGAAAAATATGAAAATGCTCTGAAATAAATAAAAATAACAATTTTGTTTTTCCTTTGATGTGTCCCCCGTCGGTCGGATTGCTTTTGTTTGCTTTAAGTTTATTTTATACAAAAGTTTAGGTCTTTTATTTATCGATTGAGGCACTACGAAGTCTACCAGGTCAGCTAGTAAGAAATAAATTAATGACATAGGTTGTAACATCAATACCGGAAGCGAGTGCGCCTTCTCCTCCATGTGCGCGAGGTGCACGATGGTCTGCAGCAGGTGCACTGATTCAAATTGTAGCCGACGCATTCCTGGCCGCTGGTTTTTGCAGTCAAGATATTAGACTACCAATGTTCGCCACTGGACTACCACGTGAGTTTTATTTAATCAATTAATACTGAATGTACCTGTGATTTAAATTCGAATTGATTGGTCTTGGTTGCGCAAATTTGCTTTTGTATTATTAACAGATAAAACAGTAACAGTAACAGTTTTAAGGAACAAATTGTTATCTATATAAATCAGCATTTATGTACCTATGTTTAACAATCCTTACAAAACACAAAAAAGTTTAGATTTTGAATCGGGAACACATTTAATAAACATCATATTACTATCGTAACCTTTTTGTTCTGTTCAGCTTCATATTAGTCTAGAATTAACTATATATAATTAAATAATATTCAAAATAATTATTTTAACTATTTATCGATTTCAGTTTGGATATGTGGCACCTTTATATGCATGTATCAACCATCTCATAAGTTAGGGATGAGTAAAATTCAGTACATTCAAGGGCCATTAACGATGACGACAGCTTTACTCTTTCTGACACCGCTCCTTTTAGATTCCTGGCCAGCTATTACTCTTTTCGCGGGAGCAGGTAAATTTAGTAGTTATGTTGTCTTCTGTTCTAAGTAGAATAAAGTATAAAAATAATTTCCAATTACTTTGTTTCTGGTGAGTGGCAAAACGAGTTACAAAATGTTTTGCTATGGCTCTACTGTTCAACAGAATATTCATAAACGGCACCGCATTCGGTAAACCGCAAAAATAACACGCAAAGTTTTTTGTTTACATCAATAAGTAAACTTTGCGTGTTTTGCGTGTTAGTTTATATTTTATTTTCGATAAAATTGCAGTATTCGTTTTTTTTATTGAACTTTTGAGTGGACGAGCTCACAGCTCACCTAGTGTTAAGTGGTTACCGGAGCCCATAGACATCTATAACGTAAATGCTGCCAACCACTTTGAGTTAAGAGTTCTAAGGTCTCAGTATAGTTACAACGGCTGCCCAACCCTTCGAACCGAAACGCATTACTGCTTTACGGCTGAAATAGGCAGGGTAGTAGTACCTACCCGTGCCGACTCACAAGAGGTCCTACCACCAGTAAATTACGTACTTTCGTTCAGTCAATTACGTTCTTTATTAGATGGTAAATTACGTTCTTTCCGCCATTTCTTAATGTGAATTCCTCTATTTTCAGGTGTGGTAATATACGCTCGCTGTGAACGCTGGTGCGGGGACCTTGCAGTGCAACAAGCCCGTAGTGCCATAGAGCGACGCAAGCTGCGACACGTCGCCTCCACAGTGCCTCTCACCGGTGCTCGGCTTGCGCATATAGATACTGTATTTATAACCAGGTTAGTATTGAAGAATTCATACGTGAAATTAAATTTAAATAACAAAAGACGCTGCCACAATGCAATCGTGCGTCCATCTTATCATGCGTTCAATCGTATGATAAGCTAGATGACGGGAACACTTATTAATTTCTAGAAATAACTTAAATAACGGCAAAAATGAAACCTTAAAATTCAATTTTAAAACGTTACTTCTGCCGTGAAGCAGTGATGCGTTTCAGTTTGAAGGGTGAGGCAGTCGTTGTAACTATACTGAGACCTTAGAACTCATATCTCAGGCTGGGTGGCGGCATTTACGTTGTAGATGTCTATGGGCTCCGGTAACCACTTAATACCAGGTGGGCTGTGAACTAGTCCATCTTTACAGGTAACAAAATAAAATTTTAAACATTTTTGGAGTTGCGGCCAACACACTATGCATCTTTTGAAAGAAATCAAAATGAAATACAGTTTTTTTTTACTATACTAGACGTGTATCGTCATGAAATAAAACCAAACAGTAACTCGTTGCGGTGTGAAAGAAGAACAAACCAACAGAAATACTTATAAATTTATTATAGTCAATTAATAACTTCCACAACGGTAATACTGTCGGTGTAAGTACTTATACCTAGTGTGCGTTATTTCAGATGACATGAGGATGACTCGGATACGAGTCTTGACAATTTATTGGAAAATGATGACGAGGAACCGGATCCTGACGTCGAATGACAGTCAGCCGAGGCTGTCATCATCATCACCACATAAATTTCTCATAATGTGTACGTCTTTTCAAGAGTGTGTGTGATGGGTGACAAGCGAAAGCATATTAATGTGATAAAATGACATTTACTCACATCAATATACGTACAGTCAATAAAATGTGCAATTAAATTTAGTGATACTATAGTACCACGTACTCATGCAACGCATTGTGACTTATGAATCCTTAATGTGAAAAGAGATGATTTAGAAATAGAACATCTCATAAAATTATAGCGTCGAATCTACTTTTTCTTAAAATCACAATTTTTTTTGGATTTCCTTATAGTTTTTCTCTTTTCTTAGGATCTTGACCTCTTAAACTTTAGTAGCTGTAATCTTATCTGAAACATGGTCGTTTAAATAAGTGTATTGTTTTAGTAACCAATTACAATTTGAGTAGTTGAGATCGTATTCGTAAGATTCGTAATAAAACTGGGTAGGACTAAGTAGTATTTGCGTGACAAGAAAATCCTCAAATACCTACGTGTTTCAGTTTTATTATTACTACTTGACGTGTGCTACAATAACGTAACCTTTTCTTACATACCATTCACAATAAATATATTCTTTTAAATAAATAAAAAAACTCACCTTCCATTTTCAAAAATTGAAATGAATTATTCCATGTACCTTGGAGAAGTAGCTGTCAAATTTAGTTTGTCTAATTGCCGCGGTATATTTTTGGTAAGGAGAAGCTTAATAACTGTTAGATCGTTTCAGAAATTGCTTAAAGAAACGATATTTTTTTTCTAAGTTCAGAAAAATATGTGCACGACTATAATGACTGAAGTACGTCAATATTGATATAACCTTATTTAATTCACCAATGTTTTTATTTCTTGAGGAACCAATTTCGTAAGATTTTGAGTAATAATTACGATAAACGTCAAAAAGATTGATGAGAGAATGAATTACAGGCCAAAAAAATATACTTAAACTAGCAGACCCGGCCACACGTTGCTGTGGCTAAGGTTTTTATTTCTAAATAACACGTGGCCGGCTATGCTAACACCAAAAATTAACAAAGTAAGAACAATTGGATTTCACTGTATTGCGTTTACTACGAAATAAATTTCACTTATAGTTTAGCCTCAGCAACACATTGTGTTTAATTGTTTTTCCCATTAAATTGTAGCTTATGTGAAACTTTGCTATTTTAACACAGCGCTATCTATGAGATATTAATGTCAGACAGTATTACAATTGTCTGTAAAACTTATTTAAGGCGCTATCTGTTTTAGACTTATAAAACTTACAATTAATAACAATAATCAACATAAATCATTTTATTGTTAATTAATAAATATTGCGACGACATTAATCGAAATAAAAACCATCCTGTGGCCTAAGTTGGAACAAAACACATATTTAAAAAAAAAGGTAAAATCGGTTCAGTAGTTTAGATGTACATCGCGGACAAACAACGTGACGCGTAATTTATATATATTTAGATATCCCTGCCCCTGTTTCTGCGCCATGCAACATTGATTTGGTTTCGTTTTGAAGAGTATAGGATAGATGTTGTAAAAATGTAATGTCGACTTTCAACTTTGCTTCAATTCAATTCGGAGGGGCAATTACGTTGTGGTGTCTATAGACTTGGTAATTACTTAAACAGGTTAGCTATGAGTTAGTCTGTTCCCTAATCTTGGCTAACAAAAAAGCCTAATGTTTTTTTTTACATTTTATTGAATAACATAACCATAAAAGTTTTGCGGAATGTAGGTTTTCAATTAATTACTTAAAAATATATATATTTCTCTAATATTTAAATTATTTATAGGTTATTGATATCTTCAAGCTAAGAAGCATCTTTTAAGTTAGAAAAAATCCTTTTAAGGCTAAACCTTGTGTTGTGATGATACTGCGACGTCCAAAACCGGCAATACCAACGTAATGTATATTAGTTCATTCAGCACACGATTCTAATGTTTCATATTTCATCATATATTGCTATTTACCATATTATATGGCGCGACCAAATCTCAGAAACAAATATGATCAGCAAAGACCGCCCTCGACCCATCGTTTATTGTATACTGTCCCGAAATTTGTAGATATTCTTAATCGTTAAATTAAAACAAATACAGACAACATATCGTTCTAGTATTTGGCAACGAAGTCCCTGACTTTTAAGTATCTTGAGGCATGTCAGTACCCTACAGTGTCTCCTTGTGTAACAACGCCAATGACCTCTTCCCGGGTCTAGTTAGAAGAGTTACGAGTGATCTGTTATTGACACAAAATTATCAATCTCCATAATGTCCTCGCAGAATTAACACTACTAGTCGGCAGAAACCACCAACTACCTTGACATGAACAGTTTGTTCCCGACCTTCCCCTAATATTTAGGGTATCCAGTATGCCAGTAATTACAATTTGCTTATTACTTTACACAGAGTTTTCTAAGGCAACGAATATTCCCAGAGATATTAATTTCCATACAAAAACTAAACTAACTATACAGAAATTATGTTCCCCAAAATACGAAATAGTGGGATTCAAGAATTTATATACCGACTTAGTTTGGAGAGAGTTTGATTTTCCTCGAGTATACTTATGATAGCTGGGCAGAAGATCAAATATTAAAAATATTTTTATAGGTATTTAAAGTATTCGTTTTTAATTCTAGAAACTCTGAGTTTAAAAAGGTTCTCTGAACACACAAACTATTAGTAATGAAAATTTTATAAATTTTGAAATGTAATCGCTTAATTTGATCATAAAAGGATTTATGATTTAAAAAAAATACGGCGATTTTTCGTTTTACCGGCTTTCACTTCAACACCCAAAATCATTAAAAGTTTATTTGTATTCATTTATTATTTTATATATGTATGTAAAAAACTATTATATAAATACATATTTTTGTACACGTTTTATGATGTGGTGGCATTTTATATAGAGAAGAAAAATAATCGTTCTAAAATTTAAGAAAAAAGCTTTTGTCAGTATTTATCGTGCTTCAAACTCAATAGGCCTACATATTATAATACAATAAATCAAATGATAGTAGTTTTAAGTTATTTGTTAAAACTTAATCGCAATAAAAACTCGCTGTCTTCGAATAAATGGTTTTATTTTTAAATCAAGTTTATGATTATTTTAACCTATTTCATACGATTAATTTCATCCCATACATGACAGTGGTAAGTATAAGTTGCAACGAAATATGTATATGCGAAAACTGTAAAGAAATCAAACTATATTTGAATAACTCAACTGATACTAAGTCGAACACCGGGTGGAAAAAAAAAATATCTAATATTTTGGGTAAGTACTTTATTTCTCTAACAAATGCATTCTATATAAATTTTCAGCTTCTTCGCTCTCAAAGCACGGGTTGAATTTCACTTCAATTACTTCTTTAAAACCTTCGTTTGGTGACGGTTCAGTGAACTTGTTTCTGTTGTGAAAAAATGGTTATTAAAAAAGTTTTCTTTACCAAATTGTGTTTTCGATTGTCTATGGAAAATGAACATTTGAGTTCTGTTTTTTTTTTCTACAAATTCTAGTAACTTAGATTCATCGAGCTAGTAGGCACAGGGGAAAGATTCTTTGGGGGGATATTTGGGGGGAAAAAGTTAGTTAGAAATTTCGGAGGTTTTGTAGGTATCAATAATTCATCCACAAACACAGTTCACAATTACTATTAGAATAATTATAGTCTACTATACTATTCACAAGTCAATATTATAAAGGACAAATTATGCGACCAAATGGCAATAGAAACTGCCGAAGCGGTTCTCAGGATTCGATTTTCACTGCCAAATAGAGCCATAAATTTTGTTCCCACATCGGACATGTTAAATATCTTTAACTTCGAAAACGTGTATGCTTTAAATAATAATAACGAAAGTGAATCTGATTGTAATAATTGTTTAGAGATGGTTGAAGTTAAAGGGACAGCTTGATAAAAAAATAAAAGAATCCTTTTGGTTTTTTATTTCTTCTTTAAAATAAGTAAAGACTGTTTTGGGGGTCTTTTTCTTCAAAAAGCCTATTTTCGGGGGGTTTTCGAAAAAAGTTGGGGGGAAATTCACACAGTCATCTGGCAACACTGAACACTGGCCTTAGCAAGAGCAGTGCTTCGCAAAATCTACCACCGGATCGGAAACGCGACCCACTGAGAAGATCCGGCGAGAAACTCAGTGGGCGTTGTGTTTTTTTGAGTTAGCTAAACAGTAATGCACTCACTTGTAGGTATGGAATACAATATCGTTAACAGGAACATGATTGATCTTCATCAGTTCCCTAAATTTGTTATTATGTTGCGCATGGGCCTTAGAAGTAGCCATTTTAGCACAACGACAATCTACTTTATTTTGTTTTGCGAGTGATGTCCAACGGGAACGAGACTCAACATCCGGATTCGTACTGTCTACTATGACACTTTTTCCTTGCTGCAAAAAAAAGACATTTTCTTATTATAAAGAGGTTATATACTATACTGCCAGGGAGACTTTTTGGCGGGAACGCGAGAAGCGAAGTTATGTTAATTGTTTTATTTTGTTAATTTGGTGTGTTTATTCAGGCTTAAACGTATGTTGCTTTATTCACGGTTTAACATCTGTGAAAGTGTATAAATGTGGAAATTTGAAACAGTCGTAAAATCTGGCTTCTCGAGTTCTTCCAAAATGTTCACCAAAATCTCTGTAAATAACCACCATTTTACAGACTTTATTTCATTTCATCTCATACCGTTTCATATAATTTCATCCCAATTGATTACAATCTCAAATAAGTAAATTTGACCTCATTTCATCCAAATAATTTTTTACTACATTATTTTTTATATAACAGAATATATAAAATAATAAGCTATAATATATGGTGCGATACCTTCGTATTTCCTGTTGGAAAATAGAATTACTACTAGACTACCAATACGTCATCTGGAAATGATTTCCTAGCTTTTTTTAATACCATTACACATATTAATTAATGACAGGTGTACGGCTGACTAAAACATATTAAAAAAACACCCAATTAAGACAAAGCTAAAGATATTCCAAAATCTATAAAAATCCATAAAGCTCTTTATGGATACAGGGTGCGTGCTAAATAACAAAACATATTATAAAGAACTTTAATCATATCACACATATACTTTCGAAAAAAAAACTACCCTCATTTAAGAATATACTAAATTCTTAATTAAGAAACCTTGATAATAATGAACATAAAATATTAAAATGACTATATCATAATTATGAAATTTAATGTAGTCAATACGAATCACAACCTATTACCCGTTCAATTAGATTAAAATGTTATCTGATTGTGTCCATAAGACTTTCAATTAAAATTTCAATCAATATTGTAATATTACAATGCTATTTGTTAATTGCATTATTACTGATAATGATAAAGTGGACAGCTGGTGATAATGAACATAAAGACTGCCTGAAAATATGGTTCATTAAATTTCTCTTAAAGCCCATAGATATCAATCAAGTTAATGTCGCCTAATACCCATCTTGAGATACGAGTCGTAAATATAGCACTCCTCGCTCTTCAAATCGAAGCGCATTACTGCTTCACCGCAGAATTACGCTGGGCGAGCTCATAAAATACCCTACTACCAGTAAGTAAGCTTATTATATTTTTTGCCTTCGAACTTTGACTTACCTGCAACAATTTTGTGGCTTCAGCAGCACATTTTTGCCATGAGCCTAGAATATCTCTGCACACAGTCGCATATTTGTGATTTGATTTAGTTTCAATCTGCTTTGCCAAATAAGATTTTCCACTACCAGGAAATCCAACTAAAATTAGTATCTATAACGAAAGTTTTTTTATAACGACGTTATAACGAAATTTATTTTTATCGTTCTTTTGTTGTTGTCAACCTCACTGGCCATCAGGTGTTAAGTATTGAATGGCGCTATCTGCCGTAGGACGTGAGGTATAAGTCTCAATTGTGTTGGGTAATGGGTCTCCCCACTCTTCAAACCGGATCGCATTACTGTTATATGGCAGAAATAGACAGTATAATATACTCATGCGTGGTGGCTCACAAAATGCTCTATAAATAATAAATGTCGAAATACAGATCGCACTGTACTGGTATAATAGGTCCGAGAATGCTGCTACCCATTACTCGGTGACTAATCACCTTTTCAGAAAAATAGGAGGACAGGGGTTGTGCTGTGGGTCTGAAATAAAATTTGGGAAATAAACGTGGGCCAATCACGGCTGTACAGTCTACAAGCAAAGAACACAAGAACGCTAATTCCAAATGCTCAACTGTAGGAATTGCTGTATTGCTGTCGCAGCAGGACTTCATCAGTTTCATAAGTGCTCTCACTGTGTAACGTTTATTAATTTAACGTAAATTTCATTTGCATGAGACACTATTAAATGATACTTGATTCGCAACTAAATATATATATCTGCTTAAATTAAGGTATGCATTTTCGGTTTCTGGAACACTTGCAAAACCAATATTTTGATTAACTTTGAAATATTTCATCAATTTAAAATCTGCAGTAAAACTCAACTTAAAACTCAACCTCAAGTAAAAATAAAGTTTCAAAATGTTGAAAGAGAGTGAACCATTATTGTTGGAACTTCTAGCCAAAACTGCTAATAATGTGATTCCAACTTGAACAAAAAACAACATTTATTTGCTTAGTTAAGCATAATTATATATATATTGACTACTTTAGATTTCTTTAACCAAAGCAGCTCAAACAAAGACATTAACCTAGCGTCTCACAGTAGGTGGCAGCATTCACAATAGGATGTCTGTGAGTTCCAATAACCCTTAATATCTTTTTAGAGCAATTAATAACACCAGTATTGTATATTATTTTAGAATGTCTTTTGTTTAAAATCCAATTAAAAAAACAATTTTAAAATATATTTGAATGAAGTTTGACTAACCTCTTTATCTTTGCTAATTAGTTTATTATTAAAAGGTTCTACAGTTACTTCTTTAGGATGAAACTCAGGTTTACTCATTAGCACATTAGCAATAGAATGTCCCAAGAAGAATTGTTCGGGAGTATAAAATTTTAATTCCAAATTTTCAGCAAAGAGTTTGTCTGCCAAGGAGTGATCTTTCTTTTTACCAGGGGCCCAGTTTGCCACCCTTCCTGCAGCATCTCCACAATAAAAACTTTGGTTCATATCAACTTTGACACCATCATTTTTCTGTAAAAGAAAATAAATTAACATAAAATTCATAATATGCCTAGTTCTTTTAGGTCAGTATACTATAGGTTTATGTAGTTACCAATTCTGTCAAAATGGCTAAGCCCAAATTAAGTGAAGGCTTAAAAATATTAGAGATTTGTATTTCTTATAGCAAGACAGCTTTAATGCTTTAATTTAATCATAAATATGAGATTAAACAGACTCAAACTATACCTTTTCAGTCAAAGTCATCCACATTCCAATTCTAGGTTTCCTGTAAATCCCTTTACCAGTTGCTATATATGCTTGTACTGGCACATTTAATTTTTGGACAATACTTTCAATCTTCTTTTTAAAGTCTTCTATTTTAACTCTACCATTACCAATAGGGGCTTGATTGCTAAATAACACAATTTTGTAATCTTTTTCTAAAAATTCTTTCAGTTTTTGGGGCACTGAAGGAAATGCTATTTGCCAGTCATTTATGTCCACCGGATGAACTTTACCAGACTTTGTCTTGATTAGGGTTCCATCCATATCAAAAGATGCTATTTTGTCACTAGATTTCACTCCCTTAGCTGTAAACACATACAATTCACCTTTGTCTATTTCATCCCACATATCTCTAATAACTTTTTCAACTTTTTCTTTTACACTTGATGACACTTGTTCCACTTTTAATGATTTCTTTCTCTGAGATGTACTGTCATCTTCCAATTTCCTTTTGAATGTCTGATTCTGTGAGGTAGTTAGGCTTTCAGGAGGTGGATCAAATTCAAGTATATGCACATGATTGTTTAATAAAATCTCAATTGTTGATCCATGTCCAATTTCATACACTTCATCTTTTTTAAGAGCAAAACCATCTAACCCAGAAGCGTTTACCCCTAGTTGTTTTATCTCTACATGACATTTTTCACAATCTGCTTTTAAGCTTACTGTAAATGAAGAATAACAAGCATTTAGAAGAAGTAGAACACAATTATGGTAGGTATCAACTTAAGATTTTGATTTATCAACGCGAAATTATGTAGGATAAATAAAAATTTAAAGTATGTAAATTAATCTAAGCAAATAATTTTAAAAAATATGCAATGATTTGACGTAAAAGAAAATTATTCAAGATATTGCAATAAAGCTTGTTCAGCAAAGTATGCATTGGCACAATAAATAGGGTTTCTCAATTGAAGTTATCACTTACGCTGCTGTCTAGAACATGACTGATCCTTAATTTTTGTTTCTTTATTGCGCCCTACAATTATTTGTACGTTGTGAGGAAGTTTAATAGGCGCATGTGTATCTAACAAACATCTCAAAAAGCATAAACGAGACATGATAATAGTACGTACAGCATGAATAATGCGTTTAACATAGTTTTTATGAATTTAACTTTTGTATGGCATATTTAACAAACATGGTTATTTTTTTTAATTGGTACTTAACACGGTTTAATATTATAATATATAACAAGATAGGTTCAAAGGCTCGCAGATTTATTTAAGTACATTTAGGTATAGATTTTTTGAAAAATTAGAAATTAAATTAGGTGTATTATCTATGACAAATGACATAAAGTGACAGGACTTGTTGGCGGGAACGCGAGGAGTGAAGTTGTGTGATTTGTTTTATTTTGTCTATTTAGTGTTTCTTCAGGTTTAATATGTAATAGAGGTGGTTTTTTTAACTGTTTAGTATCTGTGAAAGTGCACAAATATGAGAAAATGAAACAAAGCCGCTGAACGTAGCTTCTCGGGATCCTCCAAAAAGTCCACTGAAACAGTCTCAGTAAATGACCACCATTTTACTGAGATTATATTTCATCCCATATCATCTCATCTCATTTCATTTCATGCCATGTTTCATATTAATCAACTTCATTTCATTTCATAATATCATTTTTCATGTAAAAAAGTTTTTATTAAAATTAAAATAAGATTTGACCTAAAGGTCTTAGTTACCAGGTCACAAAATCCCTTAAAAAAAATTAAGTGACAGTAAGTGACTCTTGTTTATAGAGATGGGTCAGATTTACAAGAACAGACCCAAGTATTAGGTATTTTACGAGATTAGGCTGCACCTAATCCCATTTTGCCAATATGTATAATCTACCTTTTCCACCTAACCTTCGTATTCTTAAAATCCTAATAACGTACTGAGAACTTGAGATTAGGAACAGGCAGATTGAGATTGCTTGCTTAGTAAAGTATTGGTTGTGAATGATATTAGGAAGATTTTATGGATTAGGTATTTCTTAAAATTAGGAGCTTGTGGTAAATCAAATACTAGTATCTGATTCACCTAGTATAACTCATCTCTAGCTGCTTAGGATAAGACGACGGAGGCTCGCTGAATTTGGCCCCACGTTTTTTCATTTCCGGATTTTTTTATTTTTTATTATTTATTGCTTAGATGGATGGACGAGCTTACAGCCCACCTGGTCTTTAGTGGTTACTGGAGCCCATAGACATCTACAACGTAAATGCGCCACCCACCTTGAGGTATAAATTCTAAAGTCTCAGTTTAATTACAACGGCTGCCCCACCATTCAAGCCGAAACACATTACTGCTGCACGGCAGAAATAGGCGGGGTGGTGGTACCGTGTGGGCTCACAAGAGGTCGTACCACCAGATTAGATGATAATAATAAGGCTTAATAAAGTGGAAACAACTTCGGGTAGAATTTCTGTATTGGCTACGTTCTCTTTGCATGTTTAATGGACGAATCACACAAACAAAAAATTACAATGCCACAGATCACTAAGAGATGTCAGTTTCCAAAAAAGAAACATGGTCATAGATAATACACTAGTTAATACGCGAAACCTACCTGTAATACTATGTTTCATTCATCAAATCAATTTCAATTTTCATATTAGGTACGTATGTGCTACTATGTACGTGGTAATCGTGCAGATTATTAATATTAAATAAATAGTTATTTTTTTATTAAAACTGTACTAAAAATTTTAAATGGTGAATGAAATAATTGATTTAGTCAGTTTTTAAGAAAAAAAATTTATTTTCAGTGTGGTCTTGATTCAAAACAGCAAACATTAAGGTTTGGAATGAGTAAATTCTACTGACGTGTTTTTTCAACATTGGCACTTTAGAACATTTGTGATGTATTTTAGGCTATAAGAGCAGCAATTATGACTTTAACAAAGCGCAAAAATTCACCGGAAAATGAGGAATTGATTGAAAACGGAGACGCGCCGAACGAAGGAAGAAGTAACATTAAAGGGGATGAACTAAACATAGCTGTTTTGTTGTTCCTATACACATTACAGGGTATACCACTGGGATTAGCTGGAGCTGTCCCAATGCTTTTACAAAATAAAGGCATAACGTACACGCAACAAGTCAGTATTCTAAAGAATTTTTTTTTATAATAAAAAGGTAATATTTTGCATTTCAACTATATCCGTTTTAAAATTTCAGGCTGAATTTAGTTTAGTAAATTGGCCCTTTAGTGTAAAACTATTATGGGCTCCTATAGTGGATGCAATGTTTTGGCCTGAATTTGGAAGAAGAAAAACTTGGCTTGTACCCGTCCAGTACTTGATTGGAATAGTAATGATTATAGTATCATATTGTGTCACAGATTGGCTGGGAATTGATGGGGAACCACCTTCAATGACAATACTTACAGTATCTTTTCTGTTATTAAATTTTTTAGCGGCCACACAAGATATTGCTGTTGATGGCTGGGCTTTGACTATGTTGAAAAGGTATGACAATCGCTTAATTATAAATATTATAAAAAGATGAAATTGACAGATTTGGAATTTGAATGTAAGATTTGATTAAGAATTGTAATTCTTTTTATGAATTAATTTTCAGGTGTAATGTTGGACATGCCTCGACATGTAATACAGTAGGCCAAACAGCTGGGTTTTTTTTGGGATATGTAATGTTTCTGGCTCTCGAGTCTCCATATTTCTGCAACAAATATTTACGAACAGAACCACAGGAGACTGGACTAGTGACTCTGTCAAGTTTTCTACTATTTTGGGGTTGGATTTTCATTATAACGACTACATTCATAGCTATATTTAAACATGAAGCTAATGATACCAGTGCAAGTGGTCAGGTGAAGGGAGGAAATGATATTGTTAGTGCTTACAAACAGTTGTATACAATTGTGAAATTACCAGCAGTGCGTAAATTAGCTTTGGTTCTGTTCACTGCTAAGGTGAGAAATATTTTAATTAATTAAATGAAATCCAAAGTGATTTAAGACACTATCCATTTAATTCATGTAAAATATGTAATATAACTTAATTGTTTTATAAGAAACATTTTATTATTGAATAACTTCAAATGGATAGATTCACTAAATCAATAGATATGATTTTACTTATTTGTGTATTTTAGCATATTCTTGTTTCAGCTTGGTTTTTGTGCGGCAGATGCAGTATCAGGCTTGAAGCTTGTTGAAGCCGGTGTCCCACGTGAAGATTTAGCTTTACTGGCTGTACCTTTGGTACCAGTACAGATCATAATGCCAGTTGTAAGTAGTCTCAAGTTCTTTGAATGAATATCGTTACTTTTTAGTTTTTGTCTTCTCAATAAATGATCAATTGCTGGTGGTAGGACCTCTTGTGAGTCTGCACGGGTAGGTACCACCATCCGCCTATTTCTGCCGTGAAACAGAAATGCGTTTCAGTTTGAAGGGTGGGGCAGCCGTTGTAATTATACTAAGACCTTAGAACTTATATGTAAAGGTGGGTGGCGCATTTACGTTGTAGATGTCTATGGGCTCCAGTAACCACTTAACACCAGGGGGGCTGTGAGCTCGTCCACCATCTATGCAATAAATAAAAAATTGCCATATGATATAATAAGTATTTTATGTAATGTAATAATTTATTGAAACCATTTTTCATTTCGGAGGATTTCCTGACACATAATTTTTTATTTATTTAATACATTGATTAATAAATGAATTATCTAATATCCCTGATTTAACTAAATTTGATTTTTAACCAAAATATGTAAATGATCTTCAATATACTATAAATTTTGATTGTTTTGCAGTAAAAGTTTTGTAAAATTACAGATTTTGGCTAAACACACAACAGGACCAGCCCCACTGTCTCTTTGGTTAAAGGCTTTCCCATTGAGGCTACTGGTTGGTCCTCTAGCGGCAGCCCTTGTAGCCTTCACACCAACACTGCTTGGTGACTCTGGACCTTCATACTCCTATCTAAGCATACTCATGTTACTGTATGTCTTTCATCAGGTTTGTTTAAAAATATTTCTTTAGCTCTACCTGTATAATGAGATTACTACATCAAGTTCACATCATATTATTATGTTATTTACTGCTCATATGTAGATAGATGATACCAAATAATATTTTGTTGTTGTAGTCATAGGGTACCCCGCTGGTACATAAAGCCTTCACAAGTTGTCTCCACTTGACCCCTGTCCTGTGCTTGCTTCTGGACATCACTCTAGGTCACGTCGACAGACCTCGTCTCGTTCTCCATGATGCGTCGCCAAGTGTGTACAGGGCGACCAGGTCTTCTCCTGCCACACGGTTGCTACTCAAACACGATTGATACTGCATTGACTGCTGCGCTGTAGGGTCTGTCCTATCCTACGCCATTTCCAATGTAATGTCTTGCGCGATGGGGGCTTGGTCATATGTAGTCCAGAGCTCTTTATTCAATACAGTAACTGGCAAGAATATGCATAGTATTGACCAAATAATATATAGTCAGTAATTTAAATAAATTAATACATAAATTGAATTTGTTAAAAATTACAAAGCTAATCAATTGTAACAATTTTTAAATAATATTATACCATCTGGAACTCTGAAAATATCCAAATTGTATACATTACACCTGTCCACTGTAAATTGCGTCGTGTGTCAGTATAATAATAATAATTAATGGCAACCATGACCCATCAAATCATTCAACCCAATACAGGAAATTCGAAAAGTTTGTATGAAAATATACTATACTATATACCTAGTCAGGTCATAAATTCTGTCACATGTTTAATATAAAATAATTGAAACAAGTTTATTCATTATGTAACCATTCATATACCAAAATGAACTTAAAAAAACATAGATTCTTATGACACTAAAGTTTATTCAAAATGACCTCCGTGATTTTGAATACAGGCCTTCAATCTGCGCGGCCAGTCGTCTATCGCAGCACGAACGAGGTCCATGTCAATATCGGCGGCTGCCTTAATCAAGGATGTCTTGAGTGACTCCAAATTGGGATGAGGTTTTGAGCACGCCTTTTCCTCCAAGTTTTGCCATATCTTGTAATCTAACGGATTCAAATCTGGACTGGAGGAAGGCCAGTCTTCGTGCCGGATGAAGTCGATTTCACGCGCCGCCAGCCAGTCTTGTGTGCTCTTCGCTCTATGAGCTGGCGCCGAATCTCGTTGGAATACCCAGTGCCTGTTATTGAACATGGTATGAGAAACAGGTTCCACAAGGTTCGTCAGGACTGTATTTTGATACAGAACTGCATTCGTTTTTGCACCTTTCTCACAAAAATGTACCTCTGTTAAGCCCCAATAAGAAACTCCCAACCATACCATGAGCGAGGATGGAAAATGACCTCGTTGAACACGCGGAATACGGTTGCTCGCTTCTTCACTACTGTGTGCGTACACCTTATCATTTTGTTTGTTGTAGCTCTCTTCTACGGTAAAAATTTTTTCATCCGAAAAAAGAATTTTTCGATATTTTTTTCCCGCGTACCGCTTCAACAAAGCGCGGCATCTCTTCAGTCTCAGGTCCATTAGACGAGCATTTAAACGATGTCCTGTTTTTCTTCGATATGCACGAAGCCCTAAGTCTTCATTTAACACCCTTTTCACCGTGGTTCTGCTTAACCCCATCTGAAGGGCCAACAGTTTCTGCATACGTTTGGGATTTCTTTGAATTCGCGCCTTCACAGCTTTTATCACTGCTGGAGTCCTAACAGACCGAGGGCGACCACTTCTTGAGCTGTCATCTACACTAGAGTCTTCATTGTATCGTTTGATGGTACGATAAACGAATCTTTTGGTTATATTCAAATTTTTCAGTATGTTCAAAATTTGAATTGGCGTGTAACCGTAACGATGCAACGCAATAACTGCAACACGGTCTTCTTTAAGCGTCCACTCTATATTTAAAAATGAGTAAAATTCTAAAAGTATACATTTTTATTTTCATGAACAATTCGAAACTCGAATTCAATAAACTTTTTTGTGGCCAGCATTCTAAAAGAAAAGTTTTTACTGTGTGACAATACTTATGACCTGACTAGGTATAATATAAATTTTAGGTGTTTACAATGTAATGATTGTCAAAGTGTTATATATGACTAAATCTGTTTATTTATAGTATAAATGATTATCCAATACTCTACTCGACCTTGTATATGAGGAATGCATATTATAAACCATAATTAGTCCCATCATAAAAAAAAAACATCAATGTCCAAATGATATTCAGAATTTCCTTGACAGTACTAGATAGTAAGAAAAGCTAGTTGTTGATATATATTTTAAAATGAAGAAATATTACTTCTTTTTTCAGACATGCCTCTACTGTATGTTTGTGGCGGTGATGGCATTCTTTGCAAAAGTATCTGATCCAACGGTTGGTGGTACATATATGACATTGTTAAACACCGTTTCTAACCTTGGAACCAACTGGCCCAGCACTTTAGCGCTCTGGGCTATTGATCACTTGACGTACAAAAGCTGCTCACTATCTAAGTTGACCGACAACAAATGCTCCTCAACAGTTGAAGCTGAAGTAAGTGCATTTCAAAATATTTGTACATAGTCACGGAATATTATTAGACAAAAAGTATGTACAATATCGATTCATTAATTCCAAACAACATTTATATATTCTGGAGAGCATAACAACTGTTACAAAATTGTGGCTATGGCTTCAGTGTGGCCCAATGATAGGTGCGTGATCGAGAGTGAGGCGAGCAGTGGCGACAAAAAAAAACGACTAAACCCTTTTAATTATTTTTCAAATACCTATCGTAATTCCGTATAGGAGTGTTAGTTGTGGTCGTATTGGTTAGCTTAGTATCACCAAACTTATTGGGTATTATTCCGATATTACTGAAACTATGACCCCATGTGTCAATGTGAGTGATGACTAGTGGTCGGAGTAGGTAGATTGATTTTATATACTTGCGTCAAGATATTATAATACGGACATGCCATTTTACCCATAATGTGCGGGAAGTAGCGGAAAAAGTTCCCGGATTCGAACTACGATAGCAGCGCACTCTACGAACCGAGGTAAGCGAGTGAGATACCTGGAACACAGCGTGCGCGCAGCGTTTTTTCTAACAAACACCCAATGAGTCATACAGGATACTTGCTTCTGATTGGTCGTTGCGTGCGGTCGATGCGTTGTGAACATAGATGAACAGGAGATAAAGTAACAAAAAGCCCTGTCTAAGTTTTGTCTCATACTGACAAGCGTCATTTCTAATTCAACAGAAAGGGACAAAAACTATTCCAAAGTGTTTTTGTATAAAATAAAATACTGATTTCTTTCACCATTAGCCTAGCACTGGCAGCGTATATTGATATTATTAATACGTTTTTACCTTAAACACAGATTAATGCTAACTTTGAAATTCCGGAACAAATACAATAAATATGAAGTTCCGGTATTTTGGAGGCATATCCATATTATCCTCAACGTTTGACGTCAACGACCTTAAATCAATCTACCTACTCCGACCTCTGGTGATGACAATCACGTCACGATGACCATAGACTCCGCTACACGCTTGATACTAGGCAGGCTGCAGGTTTATCTTCTTGTTGATGCAAAAAATATTATTTCATACGTTTCATTACAAAATGGCCAGGATAAGTTTTATAAAGACTCATAAAAATATTTTCTTCCTTTACAGTTATGTAAATCAGAAGGCGGCACCTGCGTCACTGAAATCGATGGGTACTACATAGAAACTGTTATATGTGTTATCCTCGGCTTCTTATGGTTGCAGTGGGGTCGACCCACCATCAACAGGTTACAGCGACTGCCTCCGTCGGCGTGGCAGATAAGCCGTTACCACAGATAAGACTGAATCTCTTCATTCCCATAACGTATTAATGAGTGTAGTATCTCTGAAATCTATGGGCTACACTAGTGATTTTATAGATTAAAAATTATGAGAGGAATCAATACAAATATTAAATAGTTCCCCTTGTTCCTCTCAATAAACAGATTAAACAAAAACTTTGTTTTCAGTTTTTGTGAGTATAAAAATATTTACAAAAGGTCACGAGTCCTCGTGGTTAGCAAATTTGTGTAATTTATTAATAATGTACATGGAATGCTCGTTTGCCAACGTGCTTGAGTACATTAAACTCCAACCGTGATTGATTTTATTAAAATTAAGCTATTTTCATTTAATGAAAAGTTTTTAGTAAATTATTTATATACATACATATTTATGTAAATTATTTTACGCAATTATTGCGCTGCACATTTATAAATCCACTACTTTCTTATCTCTCCGTTAAAAACTGTACACATGAAATTATTTGTGGACTTACAAACATTTTGGGGATGTTATTTTTTGTTTACAATGTCCAGACTATTGTGCTATCATAATATAGTGATATTCATTGTGAATACTTTTGAAATCCATTGTATAATTTGTAAAGACGGTTTCAACGGTTAATATTTAATATTCTTGACACGATTTTTTTTAATTATAGTGTTATTATGTATTATTTCATTTCAATTCGGTTTGTAATTGCAATTATTAACTGATTTCAGATAAAACTTCTGAATTTGGAGCAACAGCTTTTTGTTATAAAGGTGATATAGTAAAAGACAAAAGTATTTTTTCTAACAATTTCCGTTTATGCTATCCAACAACTTTGCTAAATCATAAAATTTATTTCAAATCGAATAATAGCAGCATCGAAACCCGAGCTCAGCTCGGCAATCCGATCTGTGATAAAAGTTTGCTTTACACGTCAAATTCTCATACAAGTAACAAGTCAATTTATCATTATCAAGTATAGAATAATGCGAAGAATAACGTTGTATTGTATAAAACATCCTCTGCTATTCATACGCACACTTATTATTTTCACAATAAATGATTATTAATAACAGTAAATTATAAAATACATTAACATTGTTTAACAAAGTCGTTTCACTGAGTGGCTACGTTCAACACTAAGGAGTATTTAATAGTACACGTAATAGTAGGCCGTAATTGGGCCGAAGAGTGATTGAATAGGCCACTTGAGGCCCCTCCTGTATACTTAATTTAAGTACGTGTTTCCGTTCGTTTTTTGTGTGCTTAGTGCGAGTCTTCTAACGTTCTCGATAGCGTAAAAGTTAACCCAATTTTGTATGCAGTTGAAACAGCGCCCCTAGCGGCAAACGTAGGCAAACGATCCCATTCCATACAAATATGAGCTTTAAACTTTTGCGCTATCGAGAGCGTTAAAAAACTCGCACTAAGCACATTGTACATTCACGTATAATTCAATGGAGAAACCCTGTACGGTTTTTGATAATTCTCGGAACATTATTCAAGTACCTTAAACTCATATACATAGGTACAATAGGTGATACGCAACTAATTTATGGAAGTAAGTGTATTTGATATAGTTTAGCGTTAGCCACAGTGTGACAGGGATTTGATTAGTTTAATACAAAATTTATGCACGTAAAGAAATCTTTAAAGTAATAAAAATGCGTACATTGTGTACACATAAGATTGAATTTAGTTACGAATGCAGTATAATAGTATATGTTGTAGTTTTGGTTCTATTGTTGTTGTATAACGTTTTTTGGTTAGTGGATTCGTTTTCATGTTGTTTTAATAGATAAATATATTATTTAAAAATGTAGTATTAAGGATTTTTTTTAGATTACCGCCCAAGGTGGCATTAACCAATTAATATGAAAAAGAATGCGTATGTTTAATGATTTGTCTTTCTTAATATCCATGTAACAGTATTTTTCCAATTTTATAATTCCTCTCTTTCACAATATATAATGAAAGGTATTTCAATTTACGATATAAAAATAAAAAATATCTTTTCACTTTCATTCATATAATAAAATGCTTCAACATTAAGCTCCATGAAATATTTTCATCCGTTGTAGGGCTATGATGATCTACTTGTTTGATTTTAAATATTGTAAATACACAATATAATAATTTAATGTGTTATAATAATACATATAAATTATTTATTGTGTACAATGTGTTACGTAGTTCCATAGGTGATATCTGTTCTTTGCAACTATACATAACATGGTAACTAGAAAAAGTTTTGGCGATTTATATAATATATATATGTTGGGTGGACGAGCTCACAGCCCACCTGGTGTTAAGTGGTTACTGGAGCTCATAGACATCTACAACGTAAATGCGCTACCCACCTTGAGATATAAGTTCTAAGGTCTCAGTATAGTTACCACGGCTGCCCCACCCTTCAAACCGAAACGCATTACTACTTCACGGCATAAATAGGCAGGGTGGTGGTACCTACCCGTACGGACTCACAAGAGGTCCTGCCACGAGTAATTATGCAAATTATAATTTTGCGGGTTTGATTTTTATTACACGATGTTATTCCTTCACCGTGGAAGTCAATCGTGAACATTTATTGAGTGAATATTTCATTAGAAAAATTAGGTGCTATGCTTATCTGCCTTGTATTTTTTCTTTGTTTACTCTTAGAACTGATGTCTCAGAAATTGGCAAATTGCCCATTCATTAAAATGTCAATTACATTCATTTAAATCCTTATCTCACTATAATCGTAATCAGTGATGAGTCATGACAACTGTTTGTAATTGAAATGTGTGAGTACAGGGAATGAATAAAACATGTGCGGTTTACGTACTCGTAGTTTCATTATTTACACATCAACACTTAATAATAATACAGGTACAACTATAACAACAATACACAATCATAATATATTAATTTTAAAATAGCAATTCAATTTATGACTATAGGCGTTTTGATTATAGTAATACAACAGCAAGTGAACGTCAAACCTGCACTAACACCATTATTAATATCTACTTAGGACACACGTGTTGCTTACGATTCTGCTAGGAAATAAATATAGTAAAAAAAGTAAATATAGTAAAATAAAAAAGAACACGCTATAAGCAAGCTGGACTAAAAATTACATTTTTTTTATCCGCATGATCATTTTAGGCCAAAGATATAAATTATTGTATTATAAAAGCTTGTTCAATCGTTCCTTCCTTTACATTTCAACAAATAATTATGATAAAATACAATCTATGAGATTGTCGTTACTTTCTAACTGTTAAACAAATCTCTAAAATTATTATTAATTTTTCATTAATATCGGTATCTATAATTTTCTATAGACTAAACTTATAAGAAAGTTCAAATAGTAAACAATGTGCAAACTGAAAAGGCCTGTCCAATATGTATTTATCGTGTCAGTGATCGCAGTGTAGGTAAATCGGAACACTACCAAAATCATGTATGTGCGAAAGAGATAATAAGATTATACATCACATATGCACCTAGTTTATTTATTACATTCTACCATTAAACAATTGGATGATTTAATTGGTTGAAAAAAAAACAGCCATAACATTAACGTAGATCTGGCATTCAAGGATTATTGGGCCATATTTTATGACTCAACATAATTATAATTATATAATATGCGAAAGTAAAAGTTATTAGCGCTATTAAAAGTCCATATTTAAGAAAAAAGCTCGGTGTTTATTTTTTCATAAAAATCTTAATATAAATTATTAATTTAGAGACAGTATCGAGAAACTTATTTAAAATATATTTTGTGGAAAAAATTTAAATGGGTCTTACAGAGTAAAATGGTTTTTTTTGTATTCTGAATACAATATTACACAATTCCTACACTATTGCAGCCTAACCTTCATCACCGAAGACCTCTTAAGATGCATTATTATCCAAAGTTAAAAAAAACTTATCATTTATGTTTCTTTTCACACAGAAAGAATTCACACAGAATTAATTTGATTTCTTTTTGCTTATATTTCGATTTTGTTAAATGTTTAAAAAACGATTGACGCTAATAAACGTAGTAATTTGTGAACGACTCTTAAATACCGAAGAAAATACTAGCTAAGATTTTAATAGGAATTTTTAAATTTCTGAAAACTTGGCACAATGATAGCCTGAAGCCTAGAGATGAATACAAAATGCAAAATGTAGTTAACTTAATTTACAAGCGAGTAAGCGAGCAAGAGTAGGTATTTCCGTTTTTTTTTCGTTTTTAGTATGCGACATTGCTATAACACGAGTAGGGTTTAGTGGAATTTGCAATGCTACCAAAGTACTGTCCATTTGTACACTAAAGCTGCGTGAATTATTTTATAGTATAAACTAGTCCTATATTTTTACACTGTTTTCAGACTTGGGTTCAGTTTATAAAACATCCTTCAATCGCGTACCTAGGTTTGCATTTAACAACCGGATCAATCAATGCGGTTTGTATTTAACAACCGAATTGATTGATAGACAGATCCTTGTTTTGCTTAGAACATATTTTTTTTAGGGCACGCTTGTATTCCATCCATTGTTTTTATAATATGTTCGGTTTTTACTTCACGATTTTCGGGTGGCAGTTTAATAATTGCAGATATTTTTTAATCTAAATAAAGCCAAAAAGGCAATTTAAACTTTATTACGGACCCGTTTCTAAACTAAATTGGGCGGACGAGCTTACGGACAACTTAAATGCCGTCGCCCACCTTAAGACATGAGTTCCAAGTCTTTAGTTTTACAGTATGTACGACGGCTCCCTCACCCTTCAAATCGAAACGCATTACTGTTTCAAAGCAGAAATAGGCAAGGTGATGGTACCTGTCCGTGCGGGCTTAGTGTGCTTAGTGCGAGTTTTTTAACCTTCTCGATAGCGTAAAAGGTAGCTCATATTTGTATGGAATGGAATCGTTTCATTACGTTTGCCGCTAGGGGCGCTGTTCCAACTGCATACAAAATTGGGCTAACTTTTACGTTATCGAGAACGTTAAAAAACTCGCACTAAGCACACAGAAACCCAGCCCGAGAGTTCGATCACCAGTTGCGTCAAAAAAAATTAAACATTGAACGATTAGCACGAAACTCACATGGTACTGGAAACTCACATGGTGTCAGATCATACATCACCAGTTTATTAACAATAATCACGCATCGACAGTTGGTTTTACTAATACAAGTTGTTGTTTAGTTGCAAACACAATACATAGTTGTTTTCCGCCGTCTAACACGGTACGTTAATAACGTTTAAAATAGTTTAATGGACACTGTTTTGGCAGCATGTAAATAGTGATGACCGAGACTAATGAATGAACGGAGTTATGTGATGGTGAAAAACATTCAATGATGTTCTCAATTAGTTACAGCTAGACATTTGACACCGAACATAGCACACCTAAATAAATTAGACACGTTGAAAAAGTTTTAAAGTAGTTTTCAAATCGAAGCCCTCTGTTGTTAATTAACCACTAGTCTAAGAATTCAATATAAAAATAAAATGAAAACTACGTTTGATATTTTTGTGTATTTTTTCAGTATTTAACAAGTTTGTGAATGTAAAGCTTCATAATAACTGAATTAATTAGACATACTATTTTGAAATTTTTTAATCTGATTTTCTCCAAAACAGTTAAAAAAGTTAATGTTTTAAGATATATTGTCAACACTCATCTTCACAGTGGCGATAAAATATTCCTCGCGGCCAATATCAACATGAGTATCCATCCCCCTATGCATTTTGTCTACATCTCTGGCATCCCTATTCAAAATATTTGCATGCTTTTTTCACCCACAACCCTCCTTTACCCTCGCAAAACACTATACATAAATAAGCGCGTGAAGCAGCAAGAAACATTGGACATTTTTTTTAGTTTGACTCTCCAGCACCAGTCCGGCAAAGTACAGATTTATTAAGACTTAACAACTTTACTATAAGCTTATCAAAACAAGTAAACATGCTTCAATATAACATATAAAGCATTTATGCTTAACACTGAATTGTTCTAAAAACTCTAACGTTACATGTAATTGTACATATTAAACATAATTATTTATTAGTCTAACACCTGAGACTAAAGGAGAAGAACTAATAAAGACTAAGCACCTTGGTTGTTGAACTGTAGTCATATAGAACATAATATAGTTAGGTACTACTTCCTGGTTAATCAAATAATGAGTTTGCCTTTTCAAATAAAATCATTTTTAATTTAAGGGTCACGTTTATATGTGAATGCAGCGTTAAATGCTGTAATTCATCTGTAATCCATAAAACAGTATTATCCTATACTAGATTGTCCAAAAAAAAGATGGAAATATGTTTTCAAAGTAATATTCGTACATAATTATACACAAGAAATGTGTAGCATGATATAACATAAACTTTTGTATGGCGATAATTTCTTTTTAAATAACATTATCGAGTTAATTTAAATTGATTTTTCGTTACTTTTTGGTGTGTACAATAAACACCCCTACAATTAAATATACTCTAGGCTGAAAATTTCAAAAAAAAATCAAGTAAGAGAAAGGTACTTACGTATTAACGCCACCGCGGCAAAAATTATATTAAAAAGCCGATAAAAAGCAATCTTTATGTTTTTATATAGTAACCTATCTTTTGGTTTTCTTATTTTTTGCTGATTTTTGAGCTTAAGTTTGAATCCGCCTTATCTCCGGCGCTGCGGGAAGAGTCAGCTTCGCAGCTTCGGCCGCTCCGCCTCGCACCGTTTCCGTGCTCTGTCACAGCGGGCGAGGACTGCTCTCCCTCCGCGCCTCCGGTTTTTTATATACACTATAGGGGTAGGGCAGACAAGACCAGGTGGAAAGTGGGGTGCTCTGATTCGCTTTTCCATATTTTTCGTTTATTTATGCAATTTTATTACCAAAACACGAACAATTTTACTATTGCTAACCATTAAATCTTTGCCGCGGTGGCGTTAATACGTAGGTACCAAGAGAAATAATGGTTACCTGCGCGTTAAATATAATCCGGTAAGAATACAGATATATTCAACGGGAAACGATCGCGTAAATTTAAAAAAAAATCCTAAATATTTTGGGTCTTTAAACAGATATCACGATCGGAATCAAGGTTCTCTTCTAGAGAGTTCGTCTTCACAAATGATGGGTTTGCGGTCATCTCCTTTACTGCTCCGACCAAAGCGGCCAATACGTCGTGAACTCGTCTTTTCTACTGCTCCCCAATCGCTGTTATTTCCACCGCTGGATAGCAAACCGGCGACACCCTCTCCCAGCTTGCTGTGATGGATACCGTATAGGAAATATACAAGAAGACCTGAAAGGATAATAATGTTGACGAATCGAAACAAACCCTCGCATTTAAAAATAAATCTAAACGATATGTATGCTTTGCTTCAAACCAATATTAGGTAAAATGTCTTTAGATGTTAGTATCATATAGTTGTTTGTTGAGGCCGAATGCAGAATATGCATACAGCCCACCTGATAATCAGCACTACCAGGGGTAAAGCCAAATGGCTGCCTCTACGTAAATTTATACATAGAGCAAAAATGTAGGCAAAACCTTTAAGGTACCGAAAAAAAATGTTTTACATTAGTTATCTAGGCTTCGCTATGTCTATGCAATTGTCCCAATATTAATATTTATTAAATACGTTTTTAATTCGTAATCTATGTATACGCAAATTGACATTAAGATTATTTAAGATTTCGAGTTCAGCTTAAGTTAACAGAGCTCTAAGGTCAGACCTCTAAGCAGAATAAGGTTTTATAATTTCATAAACTCACCGAAAGTCATCCACATAGCAAAGCGTGCCCAAGTTAGAGCATTCAGATTAATCATAAGTTCTACGTTGAGCATCACACTTGCAGCAGGTAACAGTGGTACCCAAGGTACACGGAACGGTAAACGAGTCGGACTTTGTTGATGAGCCCAGATTATCACCAAACCTATATTTTATTTAATAACGATTAATATTTTTAACTCAACACCTCTAAAATATCCTCTAACTACCTATTATAAATTCAGACATACACACACACACATATATGTAAACGAAACCGAAAAAAGCACAAACTTAGTATAAATTTAAATCACATCAGTACTAAAATCGTCGAGTCTTTGTTTTCTAGAGCAGTTATCAAAGACCCAGAAGATTTAAATTATGTACCTATTTGAAAAATTGTGAAGATGTCACTATTTTCGTCTCGAATCTACTATTTTCACAAAATACAGTTATCACTTCCGTGCATACATTGTAAATAAGAAACAAAAACTTACACGAGATGATGATGAAAATCAGAACGAAGTCCGGCAATAACACCCATAATCCAGCAGGTTCGACGAGAAAATGGTTGTGAGCACACAGAGCCGCAGTAGCAATCGTAAATGTATACACAGAACATGTCACAGCAGCACCAGGGGCTCTGCCACCAACAAGAGGTTCTAGCCATGCGAATTGAGGCCGTAGACGACCGACCGTTAATGTTTCAAACATCTAAAATGAAAAAAAATAAAAATAATTTCAATTAAATCGTGATGGTCATGAAATTCACCCACGATCAAAGTTACCTCAGAAGAAGAAGATCCGCCATCCGTTGCTGGCGTTCCAGTTGCTGAACTATCCTCTCGATCACAAGGTGAATCTAATTGTGGGACAACAAAACCTTTATCTTCTGTTGTTGGAGTTGGACGATATCTCAATATTATTACGGCGGCACTAACAATCGTGTAGGCTAACAATGTGCCTATAGACATAAATTCTACAAGTTTTTCCAAATCAAAAAGAAGAGCTATGAAAGCAGACGATAAACCAGAAATAGCTAAATTAGCAACAGGAATTTGGGCCTTGTTACTAATGTCGCTGAAGAATCCAAAAAGCAAACCGTCGGCAGACATAGCATATAGACATCGTGGTAGTGAAAACATGGATCCAAGTAATGTTGTTGTCATTCCACATACTGCACCCACAGCAACTGCATATTTTGCCCAGTCTGCGTGGACTGCACCAAGAGCAGCTGGAAGCGCAGCATCTGGATTAATTGTATTATATGGAACCATTAAAGTTAATGCCATCGCGACCAAAATATAACCAAAAGCCACTACAGCCATTGATAATACTGTTGCAACAGGAATAGAGCGAGAAGGATCTTTGGCTTCTTCACTGGAAGCAGATATACTATCAAACCCTACAAAAGCGTAAAAACAAGTAGCAGCTCCTGCTAACACACCACTAAAACCAAACGGCATAAAACCACCATTTTTCTCTGACCAGTTGCTGATATCAGCATAATAAAAACCCAAAAAGATTACTAAAGAGATGACCAAAAGATTTAAAATAGTCAGGCCGTTATTGATATAGGCTGATGTTTTAACACCCGCAGCGAGTATCAAGGATGCTGCTAGACATATGAGAAACGCTAGAATATCAGGATATCTGCTTAAAAGTGTTTCATGAAGTTCACCAGTTAACGCTACTGTGGCATTACTGATAGCCCCATGTAATATAGAATCCAAATATCCTGACCAAGCTCTCGCCACTGAAGCAGCACCTAAAAGAATAATATACGATTAGAAGGATAAACAATTCACAGATTTTAATTTAAAGAAAAATACTCACCAATCATATATTCCAAAACAATATTCCATCCGATAATAAAGGCCCAAAATTCACCAATACTGACATAGGTATAAGCGTACGCGCTACCCGCTCGTGGTATTCGAGTCCCGAATTCAGCATAACAAAGGGCAGCGAGAGTCGAAGTTATCCCCGCCAGAAGGAAACTTAGTGCGGTCGAAGGACCAGCCATTGATTTTGCAACAGTTCCGGTAAGTACATATATCCCTGCACCCACCATGTGACCCACGCCTGAAATTAATTTGAAATAATCAGAATGCTACTTTAAAATGTGTTTATTTCAGTATATAGGTGCATGTGTACTACTCAGAGCCGCAAATATTATACCAATTTTAAGAATGAGGAGGTTCTCAATTCGAATGTATGTTACTTTTTAACCTCATATTTTTTTAGGTTAACCTATTTTGATGATTATTTTTTTATATTATGAAAGTTGGTACTTCTCGTGTGGTACTATTTAATTTTATCAAGGTAGGCTAATAGTTTTCGAGTTATCTTTAATAATGATGCTTAATTTATTTTGGACTACCTAAAGTAGAAGTCTACTTTCTTTTTTGTTACGTAACATTAAGCGTGTTCGCGTGTGTACATGGCTTGTAGAGCATTAACAAAGTATATAATATTAAAATAAGCTTAAGATACAACGTGAATTTGTTGTCACTCGACTGGCTTCGGTAGGGGTAGCGATTCTATCAAAGCCAGTCGCCGGGAATTAAAGGCACATAATAGATTCAATTTCAAGAGCTATTTAATTACAAATTAGTACTGATGTACATAATATACCAGCTTACCGAGTAATGTTATATCAAAAGTGGTTAAACATCTATTTAGGGGAGTATCCATGGAATCCCCGTGTAGTGGCTTGCATCGATTCATTTTATGACAGAAGCCGGATAGCACATGGCCAAGGATCTTGTGCCTTGCGCCCGGCATGATTACTGCTGAAAAAGAACATTATGTATGTTAATTTATGCATCTACAAAATCAAAAGGGAAAACTGACTTCTAGGTAAATATTAAAACCCACAAACCTGTGTCTTTACAGGATTGATATTGGTCACTTATCTCTAATACTCTACACCCTACTGCCCCTTTTCTATAACTTACCCTTCGTAGATGTCCTGTAAGTTTTTTTTCTATTTTTTTTAGCCTATTCCCTTTAATCCTGTCTTTTATACTGGCAGTAGGGCGTATTGAAAGTTACGAAAGTTAGTGCCAACATTATACTTGTGTATGACATGCGGTAATCATATTATGCATTACGGCTGTGATAAATAAATGGAGACTACTCATAGGCGACTATATTCATTATACCTTGTTACATGTTACAACCTTTATACCCCAAATAGCCTCAACATGATGTGGGACGTGAGACATGGCTCGTGAGCCCATCTCCACACTAATGATAATAACGACCCGTTTTAATTCCCGCAAAACATCGACGATTTCTATTTTACAAACTGCATCTACGATTCTGACCTTCATTGTACTGATATGTATTATATATTATAGTCTATCTACTCATGTCATACCCCATATTATATACCTATATGAATACAATTTTTTTTCTTACTTTTCAGCCACTAACTACTATCCAGGCGCAATAACAACAGATGCATATTGTATAGACAATGATCATTTTAAGTACATATTTAGTAACTTTAGATCACCACTTAAATTCTAAATAATTACTAAGTTCGTTTTAGATTTCTTAACTATAATTTCAAGCTTTTCTAAATCCAAATGCTAAACTATTCGCAGCATTGTTCAACATATAAGCAACAATTGTATAAGAATGCAAAGATGTATACTTTATTCTGCCCATTTTTGCAAAGTGGAAACTAATTATCTTAATCTTTAACCTAAATACTAAATAGCACATCAGGTTAAATTCGTTGTTTTTGTACGTGCTACTTCCTCTATCACGATACCGTGTTTTCTTCAAAACATCAATGGAATCTTGAAATTAGTGACAAAGGAAATAAGTTAAGGAAAACTTACCTGCCTTTTATATTAGGTCCGCTTGATATTACCTACGTTTTCTGTCTACTAACTTCTTTTATGGGACGAAAATAACATCGGCGCGCGCATCCAATCGATTTCAAGATAGGTCGGTCATACTTGTTTTTTTTCGATGACAACGACAATCCTAATATTGGACATTTCAAAAGTTACTATTAGTCTTTTGCTTGCCTAATCTTCACGTGATTTAAACTCATATTCATAATTTATACTACCACCAACTTCTTTAATCCACCTGTTGTACCTATCTAGATCTATACTATAGCTATATGAAATTTGGCTGGACAACACAATGAAGGTCGCATGAGTAGCCATAGTCGTAACATGATGATAGATCATGTTGTATGTCCGCATAAGATCATACCATAATTCCGTCTATTCCTGCCGCAAAGAAATAATGCGTCCCTTTTTAACAGATAAAATAGCTGCTGTACCTATTCAAGTGAGACTTCATCTTCAAGATGGGTGTTTACGTGTTGATTTCTGGGCTCCGTTAACAACTATTCATTAGTCAGTCTACTCGCCTTCCCAATTAGTTAGTTAATATTTTAATTGTGTGGCTTATACACACCTCCCGCCACAGGAACAGTGTCCATAAATAAATAAATAAATAAATATTTACTAACAGTCACGCCACGTTAACTGGTCCCGTGATAAGTTCGTAAAGAACTTGTGTTACAGGCACCAGATAACGGAAATAAATGTAAGATTTTTATTAAACACATACATATATTAAATATTTAATATACATTCATAACCCTGGAAAATACATTTATGTTTATCATACAAATATCTTCCCTTGGCGGGTTTCGAACCCGCGGCCCCCTTGTGTAGTGACCATGTCACTTACCACTACACCAGACGGCCGTTAAATACTTCCTGAAACCAAAGTACTCATCCACAGTGTGTATCAGAGATTGTTATGTTTGTCACTTACTAACCGGCTCTGGATTGAACGTCCCTTAAGGATGTTTTCTGAGCGCTATGATAGTTTCTTTTTCAAGTGACGTTTGAAAAAAATACCCAGTAGTAAGCAGGCTTTGCTCCTGGCATTGAAGATAAGTGTATGATGGTGACCACTTGCTATAACGCGCTATTATGGCCAAAGTTTATATGTTAGTTTGTACTTGTGGGTGCTCACAGTAAGTAACTAAAGGTTTCAATGTAGATGGTATGAGTATCGGTTACATTTTAAAACTTATTTTCATCTACCATCTTAGGCTGCTGCGTCCGAGCCTCGTTTGAGACAAAATCCAACCTAGGGATATGGGGGACAAGGTGAAATCTAATGGAATACAAAAAATTCTTCAAATTTATTTTGTATTACTCTAAACAAAATCGTTTTTATTTAACTAATGTATTCGTCATATCATCATTTCCATGCCGGAATCACATACCTACTATGCAACATAGACCCTAGAAGTAATAGTGTTCTGTGCATAGACCTCTCTTTAAGGACATTACTCGTCCGTGTTTTGAGCTAGCTTATCCAATTATAGCCCGCGATCAACTTAATAATGACGTAATATATTATATAGGTATAATTCTGAAGTATTCTTCTGTTTTAAAGATACAGAATATCGTCATCAATGATAATTATAACAGTCTACGATATGCTTTTTTCTAAGAATCAACTTCGCACATATTTACAATAAACATTATTTTTATGGGCTTTAGATATGCAGAGAAGCTTAGACCTTGGTATTAACTGGTTACCGGAGTCCATAAACATCATTACATGAATACCACGGAATAGATAAACCTTATTTATCTATTCCGTGATGAATACAATCACCGGCCGCGAGACATGATGTATACAGCTATATTTATTTATTTATTTCGGCTGTCCCACCCTTCAAACTAAAATCCACCAGTGCTTAGCAAATAACAATTATAGGCTGAAAATTGTGGTATTGTCTTAGTTGTCCACCGGGCAGCAGGTCCACAATACTATATACAAATACTATGTAGGTATTTATTACTACTGTATGGTTCATTAGTTTCATAATATGTAGGTACTTAATTCCAATTTTGGATCAAGGTTGTAGTGCTAGGAAAGCTATCGACCCGGAAACTGCTCAAGTCTTTTATCTTGTACATAATTATACATAGGTAACTAAATCGTTTGATCCCAATATTCTTGTTATAAAACTTTTTAGCTCTGGAAAAATTCCTTAAGTAATTAAAGTAATAGTACAATAATATTTCATTATAACTACATATGACATACAAAAAATATGTGCCAAGTTGAAGTCGTCGTGCCCTAAAGAATAATACGCCTAGTGCATTTATATCTAGCGATGCGACTGTGCCGGTGGTCGAATCCCGCTGGCAGGTACCAATTTTTCTAATGAAATACATAGGTACTTAACAGATGTTCGCCGCCACCGCCCGGAGGCGTTTCCAGTTTTACCAGACAGGTGGGGAGCAAGGGCTCAGCCATGAGGGGTTGGATTTACTAACAGCTACCCCAGCGCCTCCAAAGGAGACCTAACAATTCAAGAGCAGTTGTTTCTGCTACCGGATCGGAATCTCGACCCGCTGAGAAGATCCAGCGAGAAACTCAGTGGGCTGATGTTCAGGTTAGGTTGCACGTCGAACTCTTTGCAGAGTTGTTTGGCGGGTACGGTTACCGGGGTCCCTGCCACTAGTGTTAGAGCTAAAGATGTCTAATGCAAGGTTATTGGATCTGATAGATCCGTAAGGACGTCTCAAAGCACTAATACCAAGCATATCTTCCCCATTGAAATTTCTTCGCCTTAGATCGCTTGTACCTTGTGCTTAGTGCTGTTTGTTTGCATCATAATTTATTATTTCCATACTGTTGATGTATTATGTGTATGTAAGTAGGTATATTAGTATGTATTGTATGTAAGTATGTATATTGGTATATATTTCATATTATATATAAACGATATATATTTTATTTATTGTATGTATATATTTTCTATAATAATGTATTATCCACCGTACACCGCAACATACCTGCTATATTTTTATATTTTCCAGAATTTCTGTAAATTAAACGGTTGTCTGGAAGAGATCGCTTTTAGCAATAAGACCGTCTATTGTACAACAAATGTATCGTGATTGTTTTTTGAATGTAAATTGGGTTTTGGTGTGCAATAAAGTGTATTCTCTCTCTCTCTCTCTCTCTACCTCGTACCTTGTACTTCGTTGCACACGCATTACTCCTTTATATATTCAAATAAATAATAAGTCTTTTTTTATAAAAATACATTTATTCGTGTTACTAACGTCGTCAATTTAAATTACAATAATGGAGTTGTGCTTCTTCACTTATAAACAGTGACGCTACTAATAACTGCATTTTAATAGTGCTCAATACGTTTATTACAATATTTTCTATATAAATTATAATAGCTCTATGCTTCGAAGTTGTGTATGGCATTCTTTTTACAAATCCTACAAAACATCACTGGTCTATATTCGCTAATATCTATATTAATATGATACAACCGTTTTGAATATTACAGGTTTTTTAGACTGCAGAACAATGAAACTTGTGTTTTAAACAATAAAAAAAATCTAATCTCACTAGTTTAACGTTGATTTTCGCTCCGCAATTGTACTGTATGATGAGTTACTAAGCTTAATCAATATTGAGAATCGGGTAGATTTTTATTCGACAATTTAACACAAATGTTTGTACAAATAGCCCATGCCAAGTGTCACCATAAAGAAAATATATTCCTATTCTAACAATCATTATGAATGTGAGAGAAATGATGTTAACAATCAAAAAGTACAAAGATTATAAAAATGTAAAATTTAAGATAGGTACATAATTAAAATTCAGCCGCTTTTACTCATACTAGACTTTTCAACTTTGACAGATCCTAATTTCGAATTTAACGAAGTGATTTTTGAATACCTACGTAAAGTAAACGAACAGACATACTCATGACACTCCTTGTGTTAAGTTAAAGTTAGTGGAACCCAAAACCAATACGTAAATATCGCCCATCACTTTGACCCAAAGTCTGAAATCTGATTCGTGTTGTATTACGAATATTCAACCCTTCAATTATTTATTATTTATTACAAGTTAATGAGTTACCTATATCAATGATTTTAGCCAGTTATACAACTTCTATTATTGTTTTGTCTGTTCTTTTGATGTCATAATATAAAAAAATTGACTCCTAAGCGCCAAAACCAGTTCAGGCATCATATCTCGTCAATATACGGAAAAATCGTTACAGCGAATCACGGCTAACCAAGTAGGACGGTTTAATCAATTCCATCCGTTGCTTTGTAAACACAGTTTATAGTCAAGCTCAAAAATGTCTAGTATGATAAACCAGTCACTCGCTCCCCAACTCCCGCAGTTTATTGTACATTAAGGTACACACATACCAAATTATTATATTACAGTCAAGAATCCTTAATTAATTACAAATAAATATTAAATTCGTATTATTGCATAAATACTTCGTAATGTTAAGCTTTGTCAATTGAAATTAATTTCAGTAGTTACCTACCAGTGAGAAAAAGCTTAATTTTACGAATCAATAAATTCACATACAATTAGTACCCGCGTTTAAAACCGATCGTTAAAATATAGTCATCCAGTATTTTACAAAATGCGATATCCTGTTAAGATATATTAAAAATAAAAACACATATTTTTTGTGATGTAAGGACTTATAGCAATTAGGATGTTTTGGTTTGCATTATTGTTTACATAATATTATACATACAATATGTTCCCTCAAAAACACATCAAAATGTTTTACAGTAGATTATTAGAGAGCAAAATCATTATAGACTAAATATTATCAGCGTGTTTGTTACCTAATGATTTTTGACAATAATTTGAACCATATTATCACTTCTTTTGTGTTTATATATTTTTTTGTTATTTCGATAAGTACTTAAATTAAAACTAAAAATTCTCATTGCATTTTAGGACCAACAAAATAATACCTTAAGAAGATTAAGAATAGGTACATACAATATAAAATTTATTTAATACTTAAACATTCAGCACGATGCGTAAAAAAAAACATTTGGCATTATAACCAGA